TGACAAAGATGGGCCACACACGTGAGCCCCGCCTGTGGGGGCTCTCGGGGGCGGGGGGCCTGCTCGTGTCCGGCCTGGGACCGCGCTGGTCCGCTGGCGTTCGTGTGTGTCATGACAAGGGCCTACAGCGTGTTTTTGAAAGGACTGAAAGGTTTTCTGGTGGCATTTTGTGCATCCATGGGTGTCCCCAAAGGGGACTGCGTTCTGGCCATCGGTCCCTGCCCACGCTGTGCCCGGGTGCACGTGTGACGGCAGCGAGGACTTAGTCATGTGATGACAAGCAGAAACCTCTCCTCCAGCGGTGCGGGTGGGGCAGGGCTCGCTACGGCTCAGCAACGCCACCTCCGCCACCTCCGCCACCTCCGGGGTGGACAGACCCAGCCTGAGCGAGCTCTCAGGATCCGAAGAAGAAAGTTCCATGGCAAAATCACGGTTTCAGGCCAACTTGGGTTTAAAAAGCAGCATGGGGGTCGTCATTCCCTACCAGTTCTACCCTGGGAAGGTGACCTGCCTACAGTGTCCAAGCCAGTGGCTCTGCCATCCCCGCTCACCCTCAAGGTCGGAGACCTCGGTCCTCTGGGATTCCAGTCACATCCCACACTGAGAGCCATGTGCTCAGTGAAATTCCGACGTAAAAAAAGTCCAAGTGAACAGCAGTCTCTGCCTCTCTGTGTCCCCCGCGCCCTTCTGAGCATCCCCCACACCCAGTGTGACCCGCCCATGGGCTCATCGCCCTTCTCGCTGCCTCAGCCCAGCAAGGGCGTCTCAGGATTGGGACAACCCTTTGGGCCTGTGGGGGTCTTTGCGGGGCATGCCTCATGCTCAGGAACGCCCGTTGCTGACTGGGGATGAGGGACAAGGCCCCGACAGACGAGGCTTTCTGCCTGACAACATAGTCACCCTCCAAAGAAAGCCCCAGGGGCCCAGCACCCAGAGTGACCACTGCTGGTGACAGACAAGACTCTAGAATTCAGTAGCATGAGCGTCTGTCTCCTTTTTACCCTGTCGGGGGAGGACACGCTTCTTCCATTGTCCCATTTTTGTACCTAGAACTTTCTCCTTAGGGTTACAGAGGTGGTCACTATAAAGGAAGTGGGGGTGGGGTGGGGAGGTCCCGGGCGTCCCCAGGACTGCGCCCTGCTGTTTGTGGGTTCGCAGGGGTGGGGTGGGGTACACGTGCCAGGACAGCGCTCTGTGGTCTGGGGTGTGTCGGAGATCTGGACACAACAGAGTTAATCCGGCCTGCGGGCAGAGAGCGCCCACTCGAATCGGATATTTTCTGTTTATGTTCTTTACGTGGGCTCATTCAGACCGTTCTTTTTTTCTTTTTCTTTTTCTAAAAATTTGTGATAAAACAGGCACAACGTGAGATTTGCCGTCGAAGTCATGTTACGTGCGCGGCTCAGTAGCATGAAGTACATTCACGTTGCTGCGGAGTTATTTTTTTAGTCGTTTGGCCATTATTAGTGTAAGTTCTGTTCTCTCCCAGCCCCTGAAACGTAAGATCCTTGAGTTCTGGATGTCCGGCCTCCCTAGACCAGGCCTCGGAATTAGAAGACGCTCTTTAAATATTTGTTTAGTGAATGAATATCCCAGGACCCACTAAAATGAGTTATCGCATAGTTCAGATCGGCCAATTTTCTGTCTCCGGAGCTGTGTGAACAAAAGCCAAGCCCTGTCTCCCTCTTTGCTACGGTTCTTCTCGTCCCCTTGGTCATTACAAAAGGAAACACTTACAATTCCTCACGCATTGACACTGGTTTCCCCAGGAAGGGTGGCCGGGGTCCCCCGTACAGTTCATAAAGGCCGCCCCATTGCTTATTCTGCGGAAGCCTCTCTTGCATCCACAGTTTAGCAGCGTGCCCACCTTGTAGGTGAGGGCCTCGAACGTGGCATTTCTGACATCTGGTAGGCTGTGAGGACAAAACTCTGCAGAGAAAAAGAAGCATATTAGCAATTCAGGAGGTGCCAAACGCTCTCGCATTTAACCTGATGCCATCGTACACGTCTTCGTTTTATTTAAAGGATGTAGATACGCCCTACTTTTCCCCAGAAATAAACTCAGGCCGCCGCCATCGTTCTGTAGAAACCTCCGTATCAGAGATGGTTCGAAATTGAACTTCGACCAAATTCCTCTCTGAACTACAGTATATCTCAAAGTAAGTGAATAAAAATGCACGAGGTTTTATTCTGAATACGCCTCACACTGAGCAAGTAGAAAAAGAGAAGACGAGCCAGGGATTTGAGGAAAGAAAGAGAGGTAAGCCATGCAGCTTTAATCCAGGGACAAAATGTGTATGCGAGAAATACTTGGAACTAAAGACTGTCAGACTTTCTATCATTAATGATCCTGTACCATTTTTTAAAAAGAAATATTTAAAGTCCTTCGCTCAATGTCTGGCTATTAGGAAATGTGTGTTTTTCATCAACCTACCCCTCTCTGAATTTCCCGAATTCCTTCTCGTACCGCAAAGCTCCTTCAGCCTGCAAAGCTGGCTTCCCGCTAGAGACATTTGAAGTAGTGGTCAAATGCCCGGCTCTTAATTAAGGGGAAGAGGGTGCCGGCCTAATCAGAAAAATGGTTCCCCTGCACATCTTGTAACAAGTTCTCCTGCTTCAAGAAACTAGGTTTTCAAGAAATAGCCACACACTGGATAAAAGAAGTGGCTAGGAAGGATCACAAGCAAAGGGAAAGGTGAGGGGGCAGGGGCCTCCGTCCGCCACGGCCAAGCCTCTCCATCCCCAGGACGGACACCGAATCCGGGCTGGGGGCCTCACTCGCCACGGGCACCATCCGCCGATGGCTCGTGCGTCTCTTGGGTCGTAGTGAAGCTTGTCTGTGCCCTTACTACCCTCTGCCCAGCATCCGGTCATCATGGAGACTCAGGACACTGCTGTTACCCCCTAGGACAGAAGGTGAGGAGAACATGGACGGCTCACTCCACCTCTAACCTGTAGCAATAAGGCGAGAGCAGCAGTATGGAAGAAAAGAGAGAAGGGTGCTTGTCTAGATTCAAGCTCTGCCAGCTGACTGGCTCTGTAGCAATGTGGGTTTCACTTCTATAAGACCTGGCTTCCTTTTCTGTAAAGTAGGTGTGATAATAATTATTTTACTAATTTGTTTTAGAGATGTCGCGATAACTTACAGAGCACCAGGCCCATGATAAGTCATAGAAAAGATGTGAGTTCTGCTTTTGTCTTTTTTTCCTCTGTCCAGAAAAAAGGAATGGTAATTCACATAGAGACTGGGCTGAGGTTTACCTTAACCCTTAACTCCTACAAGAGGTCACCTCTCTACAGCCCATGTCGTTAGTACTGTTCACTGGCACCTGTCGCACATCGATACCAACCCACTTTTTAAGTGTCAAAAGGTAAATTTCTTGCTAAAACAAGATACGCATATAATAACAATAATAAAAAAAAAACCAACGGAGGAACGAAGCAAGAAGATCGCCTCTCACCACTGCTTTTTGACATTGTATCGGAAGTCCTAGCGAATCCAATCGGAAAAGAAAAGGGAATAAAAGTTATACAGGTTGAGAAGAAATAAAACCGTCTGTGTTTGCAGATGACGTGATTATCCATGTAGAAAATCTGAAAGAATAGACCAAAAAAAAAAACCCTCTTTGCACTAATAAGAGATTATAGCAGGGTTATAGGATACAAAGCTAATATACAAAAGTTAATTGCTCGGCCATCTACCAGCAATAAACAAGAGAAAATTGAAATTAAAAACACGCAATACCATTTACATTAGCTCTCCAAAAATAATGTACTTGGGGATAAATCTAACAAAATACGTACAGGATCTATATGAGGAAAACTATAAAACTCTGATGAAAGCAATCAAAGAAGCACTAAATAAATGGAGAGCTATTCCATGTTCATGGATAGGAAGATTCGATATCATTAATATGTCAGTTCTTCTCAGTTTGATCTATAGATGCAATGCGATCCCAATAAAAGCCCCAGCAACTAATTTCGTGGACGCCAGCAAACCGATTCCAAAGTTTTTACGGAGAAGCAAAGGATCCATTCAGAATAGCCAACGCAATATTGAAGAACAAAGTTGGAGAACCGATACTACCTGACTTTAAGACTCACTTTAAGACTTAATTAAAGCTACAATGATTAAGACAGTGTGGCATTGGCAGAAGAACAGACATATAGATCAGTATAACAGGCGAGTCCATCAATGAACCTACATGAATACAGTCAACTGAGCAAAGATAGTCTTTTGACAAATCGTGCCAGAACACCTGGACTTTCACATGCAAAAAGATGGGTCCAGACACAGACCTTATGCCTTTCACATGAAATAACTCAAAATGGATCATAGACCTAAATGAAAAACAAAAAACTATAAAACTCCTAGAAGAGGAGGAAGTCTAGATGACTTCAAGTTTGGTGATGACTCTTTCGATGCAACACCCAAGAAAGGTATGATCCATGAAAGAAAGGATTGAGAAACTGGACTTCATTAAAATAAAACATGTCTGCTCTCAAAGACACTGTCGAGAGAATGAAAAGGCAAGTCACAGATTGGCAGAAAATATCTGCAAAAGACATATCTGACAAAGGACTGTTATCCAAAACATGTGAAGAATGCTTAAAACCAAATAAGAAAATTAACGACCTGGTTTTAAAATGGACCAAAGACCTTAATAGCCATCTAACCAAAGAAAATGTACAGATAGCTAATAAGTATACGAAAAGATGCTCCAAATCATATGTCATTAAGGAAATGCAAATTAAAACAACAGTGACATACCACGACGCACCTATCAGAGTGGCCAAACTCTAGAACACCGACAACCCCAAACGCTGGTGAGGATGTGGAGCCACTGGAACTCACTGTTTACGAGGATGCAGAATGATGCAGCCACTTTGGAACACAATTTGGCAGGTTCTTACTGTAGAGTCCAACAATCACCCTTCTTGGCTTTTACCCAAAGGAGCTGAAAAGTTATGTCTACACAAAAACTTGCATGTGGATGTTTATAGCAGCTCTGTTCATAATTGCCCAAACTTGGAAGCAATCCCTTAGGTGTCCTTCAATAAGTGATGGATAAATAAACTGCGGTCCCTCAGACAACAGAGTATCATTCAGCACTAAAAAGAAAGGAGCCATCAAGTCGTGAAGAGACATGGAGGAAACTTAAATTCACATGACTAAGTGAAAGAAGCCCATCTCAGAAGGCCTCATACTGTGTGATCCCAACTATACGACATTCTGGAAAAGGCAAAACTATAGAGACGGCACAAAGATCAGCGGTTGCCAGGGCTTAGGGAGGAGGGAGGGGTGGGCAGGCAGAGCACAGAGGATTCTTAGAGCAGCGAAAATACTCCGTATGATGTTATAATGGTGGATACGTGTCGTTACCCATTTGTCTAAAACCTTAGAATATACAACACCAAGAGTGTCCCCTATGGACTCTGGTGACACTGATGTGTCACTGTAGGTTTATCAATGTAAGAACTGAGAAACAGGTAACAAGGAGGCAGACTTAAAGTCAGCCATATCAGTCCTTACGGGAAATATGAATTGAACACAGATGAAAAGATAGAAACTTTCAGACCAGGTAAAACACGGGGCCTAACTACACTTGATAGGTTGAAAATAAAAGATCTAAGAAGATGTATTTTGAAAAGGTACACATGAGAAAGTTGGTGTGGCTACATAAATATCGGAAAGTAGATTTTAAAATAAGAAACATTATTCACGTAAAATTAGTAAACTATCTATAAAATAATTACATAACTTAGCAAAATTAACAGTCTCGATATACAAAAAAGTCACTTGTGGTTAGTTCTAGATACTGGAAGCAACCAATCAGAGAATAAAAAATTTAAAAACAATTCCATTTACAATAGTATCAAAAACAAAATGCTCATAAATAAATTTACCAAAAACTTGCAAGACCTCTAAACTGAAAATTTGGAGTCTTGTTATCGTAAACTAAAGAAGTATATAAACGGAGAAATATGGAATTTATGGGTTGGCGAATTCTTTTTAAAAAATGATGTCAAGTCACCTTAAATTGATCGATAAATTCAATGCGATTACAATTTAAAAAATCCAGCACACTTCTGAGCAGAAATTTGGCAAGTCGATTCTAAAACTTCTTTGTAAACACAAAAGACCTAGAATGTCTAAGACAACTTTAAAAAGATGTACAGATTTGCAGGCATCTGATGTTGAAACTCTGTAAATCTGCAGTAACCAAGACGGTGTATGTTGGTAAAAGACAGTCAAACAGAGTAATGGAACAGAATACAAAGTCCAGAAACAGACTCACACGTGTACATTCATCTGATTGTTTTGCAAACACACCGTGGCAATTCAGTGCAGAAAAGAATATCTTCTCAGCAAATGCTTCTGGAACAAATGGACAAATGCACAGGGGAGAAAAAACCCTCACTGTGCATATAAAATTTTGTTTTATTATATATCTAAATATAAAACATCTGTACACTAGATCTATACGTTGTAGATGTAAACACGAAAGTTAAAACTATTACGCTTCTAACAGAAAATAAAGCCAAATAGCTTCGCAAGCTAGGCACAGGCAGAGGTTCCAGAGAGGACGCAGACGGCACTAACCATAAAAATAAATTAAAAACTTCTGCTCGTCCTAAGACAGTAAGAAAACGAAAAAATAAATGATAGAGATAGACTTGGAGAAAACATTTGCACCACATGCATCTGATAAAGAGGCGGTGTCCTTTTTATAAAGAACAACAAGTCAATATTAAAAGACACACAACCCAAAATATAAATGGACAAAGACTTGAAGGATTGCTTCTCCACGTGATTCTCAATAAGCACTTGAAAGGGTGCTCGACATCTTTAGACATCAGGAACAAGCAAATAGGAAACCACCACGAGCTAGTCTATTAGAATGGATAAAGCGGATCAAAGAGTGACC